CAAAGAAAAAGGAAACTTAGGAAGAAAAAAATTGGCAAGTTCCAAACACAAAAAGAAATAGAAAAAATAAATAATTTAAAGCCAGGTAGGAAAGTCAAAATGTGAATGAACAAGATCCTCAAGGCCGAGAGAAGGAAGAAGATAGTCTTGATTAAGGCAATAAACAAAATATGGTGAAAAATGATGAAGAGACAGAAGACCGGGAAGAAAAAAAAGCTACGCTTATTGAGGATGACCAGGGTGAGAAGGAAGAGGACATAGAACCAACTATTGATATGAGGAATATCAAGAAGAATAAGAAGAGGAAGAAGATACCAAAAAAGAAAAGATCTGTTAATTTCAAGCCTTTATTAAGAAGCAACAAGAGGAACATGTCCAAGAATTCAGTAAGAAAGCAGAAAAATACTTTAGAGACTATAGTAGAAGACAGTCTCAATGAATTAGAAACTAAGAATATCAATAAGGGCAAGGAGGAGACTACTAAAGATAAATCAAATGCTCTTGATACTGAAGCTGAAGTAAGTCCTAACAACTCTGTAGCAGCAGTTGACAACAAGGAAAAAGGATCCAGTACAAAAGAAAAATCACAAGATTCAGAGAGTGTTAACACGGGGGATCAACATGAAAGCAACAAGCATGAGGTCTCTAACATAGAGTCAGCTTCTCTGTCATCTAAAATCAAAAATCACCTTGGCATCCAAGTTGTTGTTGATGTAGATGATTGCAATTTACAAGATAAAGTTGTACAAATCAACACCAAAATTGAAGAGGGAGTGAGTGAGAATACCTGTGAATCCACTTCACCTACCATCGCAGAACTCCTTAACAAGCAACCAGAAGACCCTGCAGAAACTCAATTAAATGAGGTATCCAATAAACATGGGATCTCTCTTATTAAAAGAGTAAGAAGCAGAGACGGGAAGACTTACAAGAACAAAGACAAAATATAACCTTCCTCGAGGGAAAGGAGTCAAAGTTGATTTTTTTTTCCCTATAGTATTCTATGATTAGTACAACCATATGGAATATAAAGGGATTGAGGTCTAAGAAGGCCTTACCTGGATTGAAGAATCTGCGTGACATCAATAAAACAGACTTTGTAGCCATCATGAAACCCTTTGTCAACAAGAGCAAAATCGAAAGATACAGGAGATACCTTGGCTTTCAACACTGCTACGCTAACACGAATGATCAAATTTGGTATTTTTGGAAGCAGAATTGCAAACCCATTATCCTAGCAGATGAGGAACAACAAGTTACCATTCAACTCAAGCATGACTTATATGATCCTGATTTTAACATCACAGTTGTGTATGCCAAATGTACCTCATTTGAAAGAAAGGATTTATGGAGCAGCTTAGAAAATATGCACTCAATCATCAATGGACCTTGGTGAATTGGAGAAGATTTCAACATTATCATGGATCCTGATGAAAAATTAGGAGGTAATCCTCACCTCTGTTTTAAAAGGCGTTTCCGGGGCGAGCCCTGGGGCGAGGTATACCAAAAATGCTCTGGGGCGATGGTGTGGGGCGAAAGTCTCAAGAGGCATACGCCCCGCAATTTGGGGCGTACGCTCGGGCGTTCGGGGCATACGTCCGGGCATTCGGGGCGTACGTCCGGGCGTTCGGGGCGCGATGTTTTAGTAAGGAGTAAGCCCCAGAGACTTTTTCAAATTAAAACAAAATTTGTTGAATTAGTCCTTCATATAATACCCAAATTCTCAAAAGTCAGTTTGGTAATTACTCAAAAGGTTTAAAAAGGAACTCAAAAGTATTAAATTTAAAAGTAAAGATCTTTTTTATTGAGTTAAACCCTAATTCATGATTTTTTTTAATATTTTATCTTGTCCGCTAGTCTACTAATATCTCCTAAAAGTAATAAATATTTATTTATTTTTATAAATACAAAGAGAACTATATTCTTCTTCATAGCAGCAAATTCAAAATTCAAATTGCAGGTTAATCATCCTTTTTGTTCCTCCATATAAAAAACTTTATTCTTTGACTCAAATTACTTGTGCTTGTAAGTAACGTATAATAGATTGGTTTGATTAGTTTTTTTATGGGGATGGAGCACACATATATATAGTTTTCTTCAATATTTATGCAATTTTACTTGTTTATAAATATTTACTGTCATTATATTATTTTATAAAATATTAAAAAATAAATACCTATGTGTCTTACGCCCCGCTGAGGCATATGTAAAATACCTCGCCTTATGCCCACGCCTTTTAAAACACTGATCCTCACAGAATGTCTAGGAGATTTGACTTCACAAACTGTATGGACTACTGTGAGGTCTCAGACATTGACTCTACAAACCCCAAATTTACATGGTGCAATAACTGGAGACCAAGGAAAAGAATTTGGAAGAGACTTGATAGAATCTTCATCAATGACCTCTGGGCTCAATTGTTTCAAACGTGCAGTGTTAAACATCTTAATAGATCTGGTTTTGACCATAGGCCCCTTCTGTTCAAATGCCACAACAATTTATCTCATAATATCAAATACTTCAGGTTCTTAAATTTCTGGACTAATCAACCAGGATTTTATGAACTTATTAATGATATTTGGACACCCCTATTTAGGGCAACTGTATGTAGAGGCTTCAGCAAAAGCTTAAAATATTTAGCAGAAAACTTACTCAATGGTCCAGGGATGACATTGGTAATATCTATGACCATGTTAACAAGTGGGAAGCAGAAATGGAACTATTAGAAGAAATTGACCAGGAGCATAATACTGAACAGAGCAGAGAGAACTTAAACATATGTCAGGCCGACTATATAAGATGGCAATCAATGCAAGAGTCACTCTTGAAACAAAAATCACAAATACAATGGTTTGCAGAAAAAGACTACAACACAAAGTATTTCTATAGTGTCGTCAGAGAAAGGAGGGGGAAGCTTCAAATTCATAGAATCAAAAACCACAAAGAAAATTGGGTCAGAAGTGAGGAAAAGATTACAAAAGCTTCTATCAAGCACTATGAGAAGTTGTTTAATCTCTCCAGAAAGGATTTGAATCTGAATATCATTGATTGCATTTCTAGGTGTATTACTGATGAGGAGAATGACATCATTAACTCTATACTAATGAAAGAGAAGCTTAGAAAGGTTGTTTTCAGTATTAGTGGTGATAGTGATGCTGATCCTGATGGTTATAACGGGACATTTTATCATAGCTGCTGGAAAATCATTAAATATGACATCATTCAATTTTTCCAGGCCATCTTCAATGGTAAACATCTGACTAAGTTCTTTTCCCATACGTGCCTTATGTTGATTCCAAAAGTAGAAGCCCCTGAGGCTTTCTCAGAGTTAAGGCCTATTATCCTAGGTAATGTCTCGAACAAGATCATTACTGTGATTATGTCCAAAAGACTAAACCCACTCCTACCCAAACTAATCTCTTATAATCAGAATGGCTTCATCAAAGACAGATTGATCACACAAAATATCCTTGATCAGGAGATTGTTCAGGGTATAAAGGGCCACAACAAAGGGGGTAATATTGTGCTTAAATTAGATATGAAAAAGGCATATGATAGGATATCTTGGGACTTCATTACTGCTGTGATAGAGAAATTCGGATTCTCACAACAATAGATTAATATCACTAAGAATCTGATTTCCAATGTTTGGTATTCTATTATCCTTAATGGTACCAAGCATGGTTTTATTACATCCTCACAGGGGTTGAAGCAAGGAGATCCTCTTTCTCCTTCCTTGTTCATTCTGGGCTAGAAGTTCTCACAAGATCCCTTAACAAGCTTCATGAAGATGACAATCTCCCTCATTTTAACATGCCATCCAGAGGTCCTAAAATTAATCATTTTGCTTATGCGGATGATATTCTTATCTTCATGGAAAGCAACAATAAATCCATCAAGCTTATCATGAATAAAATCAAGAAATATGGTATGGAATCTGGGCAAAAACTCATTGTCAATGAGAGCTTCTTCATTACAGCTCCTAATACTAAAGCTGGAAGGATAAATAGAATCAGGAGGACCACTAGCTTCATGGACAAACAATTTTCTTTCAAGTATCTAGGATGTCATATTTATGTAGGAAGGAAGAAAATTTGCTACTTTGAGGAGATGGTTGCCAGGATTATTAAGAGAATAAGCGGCTGGCAAGGAAGAATGCTATCGTATGGAGGGAAAATAATTATTATTAAAAATATTCTACAATCTCTCCCTTTGTACACACTATGTGCAATGTCTCCCCAAAAGCTACTCTTAGACTCATTGAGAAACTTTACTAGATTTCTATGGGGTTCATATGGTGATAAGAACAAATTTTACTGGAGTTCATGGAAGAACTTATGATTTTCAAAAGAAGAGGGAGGTATAGGCATTAGAAGAATTTAATGGCATTTGCTCAATCAAGAAGTGGTGGAGGTGCAGAACATGCCCCTCACTATGGGCCAATTTTTTGGGAGCCAAATACTATATTAGAGCACACCCTATCTCTAAATCTATTACATCTGGGAACTCACACTCTTGGAGAGGTATGATTCAATTTAGGGACAAAGATAACAGGGAAATGTAGCTTCTGGTGGGATGATTGAACAGGTAAAGGATCACTCGCTAAGGTAGTCAATCATTCCAAAACAACTGGCAAAGTTTCAGTTGCAGAGTTCTTCAGAGGAGAGGGATTATTAATAAGTTTAAAAGAGTCCTTCCCATTGAAATTACTCAACATATCAATAGTATCCAAAGAGGAAGACGGGATCAAAATGACTATGCTACTTGGAGGCTCACTGAGGATGGTCACTACTCTAATACCATTGCTTGGCATATGGTACGAACCACTAAACAGAAAAATCTCATACTTGGTAAAGTTTGGTATGAGCACCTAATTTTTTACCGTGCTTGAATATTTTCCGCTCCCATCTTTTCACGCGTGTCCCTACTCTTTGTCCTCCACACTTTGTCCTCACTCCACTTTCTCTTGTCCCCCATGCTTGCCCTCATGCTTGTCCCCCCATACTTTGTCCCCTCTCCACTTTTCCTTGTCCTCCATGCTTGTCCCCCCACTCACAAACTCTATACCACTCTCCCTACCTATTAAAAACAGCCGAATTCCTTTCTTCAAAGGACAAAGAGAACGAAAGATAAATGGATTCCCCTCATTTTGAAGGCCAACCCTAGCAGCCTTTTGCTTTCTTTCTAGACAGAAGACGCCTCCTTCCTCACAACAGAGAAGAACGAAAATCCTCTCCAAAAATAAAGCCTCTGCCGACCTCTTCTTCTCCATTCACTCACACGCATACACTCTGACCTCACACACACTCACCATCATACTCACACAGAGATGGAGGCTCACCCACTCGTGTTTTGAACACACATAGCTGAAACTAAAGCTAGAAAAATTAAATGAAGGTCTGAAAATCAAAATCCCCCAAAAGATAGAAAGAAAAGCTGGAATTTCCAATGGGGGTTTGAAGAGACCGATTTCAAAGTTCGATTTCTTTCTTCCTGGGTTTCGGAAGGTTGTTCGTGAGCCGTGGAATTGTTGTTTTTGTCGCTGATTTTGCTGATTCTGTGTTGCTAAGCTCTATTCTAGATCTTTCACCCTTACTTGGTTCCGGTTTGCTTGTTTCTCTATTACCCAGGTACTTCCTTTGAACCTTGGATTGCTAATTGGATAGGAAACATGTCTATGATGGAAGATGCGTGTGGGTTATGAAGTTAATGAAATAGGTTTGTTCAGCTCTAAATCTCTGTTGTTCTATCTCTGTTTAGTACTTTGTATCCTCTCATTGTCTTAATGTTCACCTAAGCAGGAAAATGATTGGAGTAGTAATTTTAAGAATGATGAATATGCAGTCATTTTCTTCAATATTTTATTTTGTTTTGATAATTCAGAATATTCCCTTTTTTTCTTCTTATTTTTGCACTGTACATGCCTATATGTGTATTTGTTGGTCAAATGTCGTAATTATTGAGTGCCTATATTTGCACTGTTTCTTTTCTTTGAAATCAGTAGTGTTAGATTTCTAGTTTGGCCTTTAATAAAAGTGGCACCAGAATGTTAACTAAAATAAGTTCACTTTGAAGAATTCTACAAAAATAATAATTTAGCTGAGATTTGTTCATCAAAAGGCGTTATCAGGAGCCTTGAAAGGAATTTGTTCCTTTGTTAAAATTTTAGGAATAACGAACAGTACGTAAAGTTACAATTTAGTTATTGGTCTCGCATGGAATTTTATAAAGTAAGAGTCATTTACTTTTTTTCGATGAATCTTTCTTCTAAATAGCTTAGTGATTCGACTGATCCTCAATCCCCATTATTAAACTTTACGCTACACCTGCTTTACTCCATAATATTTGAACTTCCACAATAATCTCAAATTAGTTTTGGGAAAATCATGAACATCGTAGTTTGCTTTAGGCGCGATTAATAATAAATCATCGTGGCTATGGGTACGGTTCCCTTGGCATAGTCATGATACATAATTCCCAATTCGAGTGTGCATTTCACGTGACTCGACTACAACTTCAAATAATAATAAAAATTAACATGTTGTAAATCGCGGGTGCGTTTCACGTGGCGCGATACGCAATATGTAAAAAAACAAATGAGTGCGCGACATCGCGACTTGTTCAAACAAATTGCATAAATAAAAAAAAGAAGGTTAAAAGTTAAAAATGCACAATAGGTTTTAAACATGTAATGATTCAGATAATCAAGCCAAGTATTAATTGTTAAGCGACCGTATTAAAACTACGGAACTCGAGAGTGCCTCACACCTTCTCCCGGGTTAACAGAATTTTTTACCCGGTCTTCTATGTTCGCAGACCATGATAAGAATCAATTTCCTCGATTTGGGATTTAAAATAAATCGGTGACTTGGGACATCATAAATTATCCCAAGTGGCGACTCCGAAATAAACAAATAATCCCATTTCGATTAATGTCACTTTAATTGGAAAAACTCTCTTATCCCTATCGCCCTCTGGGGAAAAGGAGGTGTGACAGCTCTGGCGACTCTGCTGGGGACTTCAAGAATTCGAGCTTGTTCATTGACTTTATTTGTCTTTATTAATTTTTGTATATATTGTGATTTATTTGGGCCTATTGTGTTACTTTTCGAGTTTTTACCGTTTTGATATTGTTGAACTGTACATATAAATTGTATCTTCTCTCGCATCCCTCTGAGTCTTCTGATAATTAGTTATATTGTGTTTGCCTACCAGCATCACAAAATTTCTGTCTTGAGATAAAACCAGTTAGCCTACCAGCTTCTGGTGAAGGATTTAGTCACACGTGTTTAAGCGGGAGAGCCGTTAGCTAGCTAGTGCTGTTCTACTACTAGTGACGCTTGACGCTCCTCGGCTCGGGTTGTCCGCCCGGGTAAGCCAGGTCTAGATACCATCTCCTTTAGGGTTTATAAACTTAGAAGAACAAGCCACAAACAATGAATATCACTAGTAGGCTACGCTTTATTTGCATCATGTGTATTTGACTTAGCAGCGCTCGACAAAGAGGTCGAGTTCTGTTTTAGGACATGCTTTGTTGAGACCATTATGTCATGTTACGTGCTACTTGTTGCATTATTTGAGAGGCTTGCATGTCGACTGGCTTTAGCATATATCAGTTGAACGAAGAGAGAAAAAATGATGTGGTTTAGTGCATATGGTTTTTAAAGATTAATTTTCATAAAAAAAAGAACATAGTCGATTTTACCGAACTACGCGGGTCTGATAATCACCAGGATGTGAGATACGAAGGCAAACCTCATCGGTTCCGGCCCCAATTTTCAAAAAAAAAATAATAATAAAATACTAAATCCAAAAATATTTTTTTTATAGTCCCACAGTTTAGCTTTTATTTATTTATTTATATTCTTTTATAGAGTCAAAACCCGAGAAATCGGAATTTTTGTGTGTCAATAATATGTTTGATCAAAGCCTAACCCCGTGTCTGGGTAGACAGGTATACCATGAGTGGGAAAAGAGGTAAGTCTGAAAAGAGGCCCAAATCAGAAGGGATACCAGATTTTTTGATTGTCGATCAGATACCACGGTTGTTGTGGGATTGGTGGAGAGACTTTAAGGAATATGAGCGAAACCAGATAAAGAAATACTTGGGACATTTGGTTTACATGATTACGATAAAGCCCAGGAGGGATGTGATTGAAGCTTTGATTCCGCACTGGGATCCTGAAAATAATGTGTTCCGTTTTACCGACTGTGAAATGACTCCGACCTTGGAGAAAATCGCCCATTTCCAGGGGTGGGGCCGCAATCTTCACGGCCAAAGGCCCATAGTACCAAAAAATGTGAACGAGGGTAGGTTTCTGAAGCTTTTGAACATAA